ATCAATAGAGGAATATTAAATAAATCATGCTCTATTCATATAATGGAATTATAGATAAGTATTAAAAATGAGGTGTGTCAACACGTTCTGAGAACCCAAGATCTCCTAAATATAATAAGTAAAATATACAGGTGTAAGGTGAGGAATAATGTTTATAGCATGCTACCATTTGTGTCAAAAAAGAAATAAAGGGATTACTGCTTCCCTTACACACACACACACACACACACACACACACACACACACGCATACACATACACAATCTCTAGCAGGATTCACAAGAAATGGATAATATCTCTGGGGAGGACAACCTGGGGGTGGGGCTAGGAGGGTATGGAGACTTCTCAGTCTTACGAGTTTTTGTATGATCTTTTGCTAGTTGGATTGTTTATTAACCACATGTGTATTGTTCAATTATAAACACAAAACCAGCTGATGAAATAAGTTTACTGGGCAATCAACTCATTTTATTCTCATTTAAAATAGTACTCATGTGTGGTTTCCTGAAGACTTCCTGCACCTTATTATATACCAATTCATTCAACAGATTTAAAAAATCACTTATTTTTGACAAATAAAAATTGTATATATTTAAGGTGTATGATGTAATGTTTTGATATATATGATGTGAAATGATTAGCACAATCAAACTGATTAACATATCCATCACCTCCCATAGTTACCTTTTTTGTGGTAAGAACACTTGAAATCTATAATCTTAGTAAATTTCAAGTATACATTTTTGACTATAGTCACCATACTGCATATTAGGTCTCCAGAATTTATTCATGTTACAACAGAAATTTTGTACCCTTTGATCAATATGTTCCCCTTTCCTCTACCCCCAGCCTCTCTCTGGTAACCATCATTCTACTCTCTGTTACTGTGAGTTTGACTTAAAAATACATATTTTTTAGATTCCACATATAAATGAGATCATGCGATATTTGTCTGTGTCTGGCTTATTTCACTTTAGCATAATGTTCTCTAGATTCATCCATGTCATTACAAGTGGCAGAATTTCTTTCTTTTTAAGGGCTGAATAGTATTCCTTTATATAAATTTTATATATATATATATACATATATATATGGATATATATATCATTCATCTGTTGATGAACACTTAAGTTGTTCCCATATCTTGGCTACTGTGAATAATGTTGCAATGAACATGGGAGTGCAGATATCTTTCTGAGATAGTATTTTATTTGCTTTGGATATATACACAGAAGTGGGATTTCAGCAGATATTTTTGAGTGCCTATTATGTGCTAGGCACTGAGTGATGTATTAGAAATATAATGGTGAACAATATAGGCACAGTCCTTGCCTTTGTGTAACTTACATCCTAGGAGGATAACAGATATGAAATAAGAAATTGCATAAGCAATTTGATATTTCCAATCATGAAAAGTTCAACAAAGGAGTATAGGAGACTTAAGGCAGACTGAGGACTAGATGAAGACTCGCCAGAGAAAATGATGTTTTGAATGAACTGCAAAATGAGTAGGATTAAAGTAGAAGAAAGGGAGAAGGACAAAAGTGCACCTCAGGCACATGGAAGAATATGAATGAAGGTCCTGAAGCAGGAAGGAGCATGGGGTATCAGACAAAATGGAGAGACAATATGGCTGGAGCTTAGAAAGACAAGGGTGAGAGGTATATGAGCCTAGAAAGTTCAGCAGGGACTTTTAGACCATGTTTAAAATTTTGGAGTGTATTTTTAGAGCAAGGGAAATCATGCAAGTTTTAGGGAGGGGAGGACATAATTAGATTTGAAATTTTTAAAAAAGATTTTATTTTTAAGTAATCTCTACATTCAATGCGGGGCTTGAACTCACAACCCTGAGACCAAGAGTCACATGCTCCACCAACTGAGCCAGCCAGGCACCCCTATATTTGAATTTTTAAAAGTTTACCTGCAGTGTAGACAGTGGACTGAAGGGAAGCAAGCATAAATGAGGGGTCCAGCTGGGACTTATTGTAGTAGTCCAGGTAAGAGATTATATGGGCAGTCCAGATTGTGAGGTGGGTATGTTTCCAATATAACTTTGAGACAGATCTGGCAAGATTTGCTGATGAAATTGGCTTAAGAGTGAAAGAGAATGATATATCAAGGACGATTCTTAAGGTTTTTGACTTCAGTAACTGATTAGAAGGTGGTACCATTTCTAAGGTAGGGAACACTGGATGAAGAGGTTTGGGAGTGGGGCTGAAATGTTCAGGAGTTTGGTACTGGACATGTTCAGAAGAGATGTTGAGTAAGGGCTTGGATATCTGGATCTGGAGCTCAAAGGAAAGCCCAGGGATAGAGACCGTTAAATAACTGGTTTGTAAAAAGATGACACATCAGATCCCACAGTTATGTAAGCTTCTGAATACAAGGTAAATGTTCAGGGAATCATGGTTTTTCAACTCAGGAAACCATTAAGTACAAAATTAGGATCTCAGTGATTTAACAGGGTAAGTCAATTTGTATCCGTCATCTCATTGTACTATGACTTATCCAAATAAAATATTTCAGTTCTCAAAAACAGATGTCCTTAGAATAATAGAATGGACAGCAATTAAGCTGCTTTGCTTCATGCTATTTTAATGACATTATCAACCCCTATATTCATCTTTACTTTGCAGAAGATCTATAAAAATGCATTTGACAGAAAAGGTATTTTGAGCATTTTCTCCATGCAGAGGCTTTATTTTTTTCTAACATAATCATATTTTTCATACTCAGAGAGGGTGTGATAGAGGACAGCTAAAACACAGGGTGGCAATTTTATCTTTCTGAGGGTCCTGCTTTCTAGCTTCAGAATAAAAGGAATTTCCTATTTGGGGCAAAACATATTGGAAAATTAGCACAGCAGAGTAATATTACTTGTTTATTTTGTTTTATACCCCACTAGATGTAAACTTCATGATGTCAGGGGTTTTTGTCTGTTTTACTCGTTGCTGTAATTCCAGCATCTAAATCAGTGCCTTGCACATGGTAGGTATTCAATAAATATTTAAGGAAAATTGAATGAAATAATAAGTTGTGTCTTCACATTGTGTCTATTTGTTAGAAAGTTTCTGAGTCCATAGAAAGTTAGATATACTCATATTGAAAAAGATATGTATATACACACATATACACATATCGCCAAAGTAAGATAGAGATACCTTAATTTATCATGTTTTTAACCACCCATCCATAGCTTCTGTTAGAGATTTTGAAGTTCCCTGTGTTTACTTTGGGAAACCTATTAATTTTCATTTCCACTGGTGGTATTAAGAGTCTCATGGATAAGATCTATTTCACTTCTGATAGTACTCAAAACTTTCTTTCCATATCAAGGCAAATGGCAGAGTGATTTACTGAACAATACATTACATTTCTTAGAGGAGTATCTTACACAAAATATTCATCAAAGGACTATATCACAAGAGAATTGTTCAATACATCCAGATAGTCCATAAAAGAAATTAATGAAACATGTAAAATATTGCTAAAGATTATGGCAAAAGGCAGCAAAACAAAACAAAACCCAAACCCGGTAAAATACAATTTTAAAGAATTTTCATGGAACCTTAACAAAGTAACAAACATGTATTGAGCATCTTCAATATATAAGAAACATGATAGTTGTGGGCAGATATAAAGATGAAGACTTAGTCCCTGTATTCATAGTACTTACCATCTATTAGGGGAGTCAGAACTGAGCTCAGTTCAGCAAACACTGACTGGCATTCCTATTAAGCAACAGGCTCATATTAGATGCAGGGGGTAAAAAGATAAGTAAGGCCCTGTCCCTGTTATAGAGGGACTTAAAATTTAGGTTGTTATATATCTAGGTGTATATTTTTGTATGTGTGGGGCTGTGTTAACTGTATAGGAACCAACATAATGCAAATAATTTCAGTGCAATATGGGAGGCTATGACAGGGTGTTAGCACTACATAGGGAAATTTAACCCAATATAGTGAGGAGATAAAAGGAGGAGGTGGTAGAACCTGAACTGAATATTAAGGATATGTTAGCTGGAGTATGGGAATATCATTCCATGCTAAAGGAAAAACAGTGTGACTGGGAAACCACAAACAGTTCAGCGGACAGGTGGTGTAAGGGAAGGTCAACTACTGGCACTTTCTCTTTTGGAATTCTTTCTCTCCTTAATTATTTTGAAACTCTTGTAAAATAACTAAAATAACTACAATGAACCCTAAAACCCCTCATCAAATACAATCACTTTAATATAAAGGCCATTTTACCTTGATCATTTCTGCAAAAGTTTATCAGAAGAATCTTGTATGGACTCCTTGTATACGTATAAAAAACCAGATTCAGAACCAATAAACGCTTATCAAGCAACTACTATGCTTTCATATCTTTTTTTCCCTCCTGTAAAGCAAAGCCAATTTTGTAAAAATATACTGCCGGGTGGCTGCGTGGACTAACTAGAACAAATACAGACGCAATTTAGGTTTCATTGTGGCGAAACTAAGGAGAGAGGTTTTTCGTGGGTTTTCATTGGGGAGATAATGGAGACGAAAAAGATACAGGATATAGTTTGAAAGAATTGGTGCGAAAAATGATGCTTCGGGGGGCCAAAACGAAAGTGCACACACACTGGGGGAAACAAGTTACCAGGCTGGAATGAAAATTTCCTTTGTTCACAGACCAATCCCCTTTCAATTTCATTCCGCCCTTCATCTATCCCAACAATTCTTGCTTCATCATTGTCAAGGGGTACCCAGGTTTTCCCATTCAACCTAGCTAGCAGAGCAAAAATCTCCATCTCATTACTACCCCAAACCTCCAGGCTAAACGCGCTACTGCACTCAGCCTGGAAAATAAACTGAGCTTTTAACATTCGCGTAAACATTTCAAATAAAATGCTGTAGCCGCCTACCTGGACCGGCCACCAAGAACTACAATATCCAGAATGCACTGTTTTTCCTTCCGCCTTCTACCAGGGCAACGCCTGACTAGATCTCATTTCCACAAGCAATAGTCACATGACACATTTCCTTTCAAGATGGCGGATACTCTCCCTTCGGAGTTTGATGTGATCGTAATAGGGACGGGTATGTGTGGCTCTGGTACTCCCCGAACAAAGTGTAGGAAATCTATCTCGTTCTTACCTTCTCTGTCAGTGGTGAGGGTTGGCGAGAAATGCCGGGGGTTGAGGATGGGAGGGAGGACGGGAAGGAAGTGAGGTAGTGTGGAGTCAGCGCGGGACTTGGCGGCTCCAGGGAGGGGCTTGGACTCACGGTACTTAGCGCCATTTGAGTAGGGGGCGATCTGGTCGATGCCGATTGCTGAGGTTGGTTGCTGCGGGTGATTCTGTAATTTCCTTAGAGGGAGGTGTGTTTGTAGTGTCATGAGAATGGAGGGTCGGGATTTTATCGAAGGAAACGCCTTTGGCATGACATGATTCCTTCCTTGTTGATTTCAAGGTGATATTCCCCATCATTGTCTCGCCCTTTCGTAGGAATTTTACATATATTTATGTAGTCCTAGGGTGTAGTGCAGCTCGGATACAGTTTAGTCTTCAGGTTTTCGAGAAAGGTGCTCAGCTGTTGCCCGTGTGCGTATTAATTTACTAGGACAGGACACGGATTCTTTTCTATTGTGTTGACAAGCCTAGGGAATTGTATTTTGTTGAGGTAGCCATTCCTGCTTTATGATGCTGAAAGATAGCGTTTTGCTTTCTGTCACCCACCTATCAACTCACAACTAAATGAGCTGAGAAGAAGCTTCTGTGAATTCCATTTCAGGTGTGTGACCTTATCTTCCCCTCGTTTACCCATCATTTATTCTCCATGTTTTGGATGGAGTCAGAACCCTGCAATTTCTAGTTGACAAATTCAACGTACGGCACGTGGCAGAAGACATTTGGCAGCAGTTGGTATTTTGTTTTTCTTAATAGTGTAAAGGGCGGATTTTAGAAGGCGTGAAGTAGGTTGTTGAGTGGGGCTTTCTCCTGTTTGCAGAATGTGGTAGGTCGGAGAAGCTCTGGTGGATGAGAACCTGTCCATTGTGTTAACGAATGGAGTTTGTTGTCTTCTCAAACAGCGGGGGCATCCATGTTTCCAGGGCGGGAGTAAAAATAATAGCTACCTGGTTTTGAATGCTTATTATTTGCTAATTGATGTGCTAAGCACTTTAGAAGCTGTTTGTAATCCTCACAACAACCTCCTTAGAGTAGGTATTCTCTACACTTTGCAGACGAGGAAAAGGGGCCTTAGGTTGCTGTGTACTCAAGATCACACAGCTGGTAGATTTCCAAAGGCCCATTCCATCTCAGAAGGAGAATCAGTGCTTCAGACCTTAAGAGTTAACCCATATTAGTAGAAATAATTGAGAAAGGTTGTTTCTAGACCTTGCTTGGCCTTTAAATAGCTGTTTGAATTGCTAGGGCACTTAATCTCTCTGAGCCTCAGTCTTCTTGTTTTTAAACACAGAAAGGGTAAACTGGTCTTTCAGGTATTGTCTAACCAAAAATTCTCTTATTCTAGTTGCACCTGGGTAAGTGGTCTCAGGACAACAAAGACATGTTTATTGCCATTCTGAAAACTGCATGACTGCAGATAACTTGGCTGCAGCTGCTGTGAACAAATGTTGGATGTTTTCTCCAGTCTATCCTAAAATGGAGAACAACATCCATTTTTGAATAGTTGTTATACCATACTTGGATTCTATATTATTGCCTTTCTTTTTTGTTAGCTAGGAACTTGGGGTGTTTTTAAAATTTTTTGAATTATTATAAGATTTTTCTTACCTGGATTCAAATTTTAATTGGTAAGAGTGCTAATTCCTGTTATTAAATGCCGTTAATTCTTAAATAGTTGCTTCCTGGTTCAGATCATAATATGGACTATATTCATCCTGTTAGAGTCCGTTATGGTAGAGGTAAGAAGATACTGTGAGTGATACAGAAAATTGCATTAGGTGGCATCTGGTGTTTTTAGAAAAAGATTCATTTTAGACTTATTCCAATGAGGGTAGTAGTATTTCTCAAAGTATGGGAAGAAATTATTTGAAGTTAATCGTAAGTTATGTTTTTCATATCACTTAATGGTGAACATACTCTGAGTTTATCAAGCACGTTGCATAAATTTATGTTATGAAGCTTCGTTTTTAGGTATGTTAAAATGGAAAAATTGGATAAGTCATTTCCCAAATGATTCTAATAATTCCAGTCATTACTTAATTGGAATTATTAATGTGTTTGGAATATTTTTCTTCTGAAATAGTTTGCTGAAAGTAGCCTTAAAAATGTTTGCATTAGGGGCACCTAGATGGCTCAGTCGGTTAAGCGTCTAACTCTTGATCTCAGCTCAGGTCTTGATCTCAGGGTCATTGAGTTCAAGCCCCACAGTTGGGCTCCACATTGGGCATGGAGCCTACTTAAAAATATATGTATATATATGTTCGCACTACTAAATACTGGCTTGAGTAAATCTTAGGAAAAGCAGCATTTCTTAGATTCAGTTTTACTGACAAAAGCGGAATTAATCATGCATGTATCACAAACAAGAAATAGGCTATGAAATGTAATTTTTCTTTTAGTAGATTTAGCTCTATTTCAAAAGACAATTGCTTCAAGTAAAAACATCTGTAGATAATATTTAAATCCCTTTGTCCTTGATTTAGTTTTTTTTTTCTTTACTTTTCATATCATAAGATTTTCCTTAGGGTCATGTTTTGAAGAGATTATGGGAAGATAAAGTTTGGTATGTATTTTCTTAGTTATGTCCATTTCTTTCTGATTACAAAATAGAGGAAATATCTGTCAAACACCCAAAGGCAGAGGGATAAAATCAACTATTTGAGCTGTGAAAAATATAGAAGAAAATGGAATAAGGAAGGGGGGCCATCTGGAGTCTTAAAGGGGTGGACAAAACTGGATGTAAGTGATGTTCTAGGAAGTGGCTTTCAGTTTGGGTACACAGTTGTAATTTTCAAGATATTTTGCCATTTAAAAAGACATTGGAATGATGGGTTGTAGAGAAGTATCATTGGTTTCAGGACAAAAATAGTCCCAATAACATAACACCTCATTGGAGGTGACATCTGTGTAATCTGCATCAGAGACAACAGTTCAACAGAAGAGCGGGCAAGATGGAAATTAGGAGAGCTGTGATAACATTGGCATGCTTCTTACATAGTGGAATCCTTTAGGCCCTCACTTAGAGCATATTCGTATTTTAGAAATTCCAGTGTGCTCAGAGCATATTAGAAACATCCTTAACTTCTGTAAAAGCTGTGTTTGGGGGATGTCATTAGATATAAGTGATAGTTCATATCCTAATGGGAAAGGGAAGAGACAAACACCCTAAAGTGCAAGCCTGTGTCAGACAGTAAAATGGCCTGGGACCAGTTTGTATAGTGACAAATTTTTCAGAGTATTCAACCCACATTTACTGAGAACCTAGTCCCTGCCTTTATGAAGTTTACTGTGTTGCCTGTTTTCAGAGACTGGGGTTCCTGATAGTCACATCCACAGAACTGTTCTTAAGCCAACGTGGGCTTTTCGTTGCATCCTTCTTGCTTTCTGAAGACCACATAAGGATTCAGTCTGCATTCCTTTCCTTTCTGAAGTACACCACACAATTATATTTTGGGGGTTCTTTCCCTAAGATGGGCTATGGAGTGGGCTAGCTTAAAATTTTTCCTGCAGAGGATAAACACATAGATCCTTTTTGATTTAAAAGTTTTATTGCTAAAGATTATGGAGAAAGAAATGAGGTAACCAAAATAACAAACATGGGAGATGCTCCTAAATTGTGACTACTTTCCTAGATAGTGCTCGACATAGTACAGTAACAGGTGTGGCAGAATGGTGTAATGGGAATCACTTGACCCTTCTACTGGGTGACTTTGGGCAAATTGCATCACCTCTTGGGAAGCCAGGTTGTTCATCTGTAAAGTGGGAGATTTGAATTAGGTGACCTATCTACCAGCTGACTGTTGTGTCTGCGTAAGTATGACCCTGGGTCTTTGAAAAGGCTAAATTCTGTATAGTCCTTTTAAGGAGTCAGGTCAGTGTTTAATATACTTCGGAAATTTGGGTATCAAAATGGCTCAGAAAGATTTTCTTGCAAACAGTAAACTGCCTGTATCAGGAAGGTCATGGAGGTAGCATGCTTCCATTCTTTGATGTTGTTTGAGAATCATAATGTCAGCTTTGGCTGGCAGCTCATTGACTATAATGCTTATGATGGTGGTGGTATAACTTCACTTCTCCAGGCGTTGGGGAATAGTAGTACTGTGGGAGGTTTTGTGAAAACATATTTACCAAATACTATATCTTAATTTACTCTTCTCCCAGGATGTCTGTGTATGTTTCTAACATGACAGGATGCCCATATTTCCTCTGTCTGTATTTCCAAACATACATACACCTATTGTCCAGAGTTGAGTTATGATTTTTTTCTGTGGCAAGATGCCACCTATTTGTGGGTCATGAAATCAATTCTAGCATTAAAAAAAAGAGGTAGAGTAGAATATATCAGAATACATTACATGTAGTAAGGATGAATATAGTTTTATGAAACAAATATTTCATGTGTGCGTAATAGATCACTGTGTAAAATATATCCATATATATGTAGATATTTTTGGGGGTTGTCGGGCAAAAAGTCTTAAAGTCTAGAGAATATTAACTGAATAACAATGAATAATAATGAATATGATATTTCAAAACTCTTTAGTTTTACAAATGCTATACCATTCATATATTTTATTTACTTTGACATGTATGTATCTCATTTGAGCAGTGTAGTGATACTGTAGTGATTGACAATGTGGTTCTGAAATGAGACAGATTGGGTTTGAATCAGCTGTGTCTCTTGTACCACCTTACACATGTCCCTTAATGTCTAAGTTTCAGTTTTTTCATTTCTATATGAGAATAAATCTCACAGAACTGTGTTGAGAATTCAATGAAATAATTCCTGTAAGATGCTTAGTTAGTGCTCAGAAAATGTAGTTGATTTTTATGCCCCATAATGCCATTCCCAGGTGCTTTTATCATCACTGTTGCTGCTTGAATGCTTCCCAGGAAGGGCTTTCCATGGAA